GGATGGTTAAAGAACTGGTAACCATTGCAAGTTTTCAAATGGGAATATTATGATGTTCAGTGCGTATTTTAGGAAGACCTGTTGGAGCCATCTGGGTTAGACCACAAAGAACTGTTCTGGTGTTGAGGGCTAAGCAGGGCGAACACTTGCTTGGAAATAGGGAAGGCAATGCGTGAACGTGCTGTACACCTCAGGAGGTATTAGTCAAGATCCATAAAGGGTCTTTCTCTCCTCTTTATGTTGTTGAAGTGACCAAGGAAAGAGGAGACTGGGATGACAGCTGTCATTCCTGCACCTCCTCTATCCGCCCCTACCCCATGGAGATAATTTAACAACAGGCAAGTACGTTGTGGCAGTGCAGCCAGGAGTTCACAGAGGGACGTTCCCTTTCCAGACTGCTAGGGTTGTTCACCTTGCCAGAGAGGTCAACAGAAGAGCAAGTGCGTTTTTAAATTTTGCACCCAGTAGCTCTTCACTGGGTCACCCAGCAACAGTTAGCCCGTGGCAACCGTGAGAAGGCTCCCATCCAGCATCTTGGTTATTTCTTGGTAAGTTTCTAGGTGTGGGGGTGCCTGTCTGAGGCAGGGGGACAGGTGTGGGATGGGACACCATTTTCTGTGTGACCCCTACGCTGAACACCCAGTGGTGGTTTTGTGAGCAGAGCAGCTGATAACCTTTCCAAGCCCTCGCCCTGTGGGCTGAGGTTTTCATCACAGGCACAGTCTGAAGTGCATGTGGAAAGCACAGAGATACCTCTTCAAGGACAGATTTGCTGGGGCTTCAGCCCCACTTGTCCAAGTCTCTCTCCTTGGTCTCCTGCCTTTGGGCCGGATGACCACAGCCCCCTAACGAAATGAAAATTGGTAACTGAGTCCAACCAGAAAAAGGACGAGAACCTGGAGTTTCTGTTTTCAGACACACAGCCCTTTGTGGTGCTGGTAGAGCAGGCGGTGCAGTCTCAGTCAGGACCCGGGACGAGCCACAGGGGTTGGAGATGGGCAGCAGGGCTGTCCCCTGCTGCCTTCCTTCTACATAGTGGTTTGGGCAGATACTTCCCAATGTGCTTTCCCCAAGGACCCTAAGTAATGTAAGTTTTTATGCCTTACTCTTTTAAAATTTTTTATTGAGTTTATTGGGGTGATATCTATAATAATAAAAGGGTAATATGCTAATTAGACCGGACATCATTCCGGACGTCCTTCCTGACCAAGTCGGGGCCAGAGGAGGGAAGCAGCCCTGGTCCCGGGTGCCTGCGGGCAGCGAGGGCAGGGAAGCCTGTGCCAGCAGCTGGGGGAAGAAAGGCCTACTCTTGCATGAATTTTTGTGCATTGGGCCTCTAGTTGGTTAATAAAATTATATAGGTTTCAGGTGCACAATTCTATAATATATAATCTGTATGTTCACCATCCCATTTATCCCCCCTGTACCCTCTTTTACCCCCTCACCGCCCCCTCCCCACTCCCTTTTTCTTCTGGTAATCCCCATACTGTTGTCTGTATCTATGAGTTGTGTGTGTGTTTTGTTTTGTTTTTTTTGCTTAATCACATCACCTTTTTCACCCAGCCCCCCTCCCCACTCCCCTCTAACAGTTGCCAGCCTGTTTTCTGTATCTATGAGTCTGTTTCTATTTTGTTTGTTTGTTTATTTTACTCATTAGATTCCACACATAAGTGAAATCACATGGTATTTTTCTGTCTCTGGCTGGCTTATCACGCCTTATTCTTGATTGTAGTCCCTGCTTGATATTTTTCTCATAATATTCACAGAACCTAACACATATGTACAGTTGAACCATGAAAAATATGGGTGTGAACTGCGCAGGTCCACTTATACACAGATTTTTTTCAATAAATACTGTAAATGCATTTTCTCTTCTTTATGGTTTTAATAATATCTTCTTTTCTCTAGCTTATTTTATTATCAGAATATAGTATATAATACATGTAACAAACATAATATGTGTTAATCGACTATTTATGTTCTTGGTAAGATTTCCCGTAAATAGTAGGCTACTAGTAGTTAACTTTTAGGGGAGTCAAAAGTTATATGCAGATTTTGGACTGGGTCGGGGGTCGGTGCCCCTATCCCTGCCTGAATTTATTTGTTCATTCCTATCTCTGGCACTTAGAGCAGTAACTGGGACACATGAGGCCCCTCCTGGATATTGGATTAATGAATTTATTGGACAAATGAATGGCTGAATGAAGAAGCAGAGCAGATCCGTCTGATCAGCCCATGCGGGCCCTGGGGAGGTCCCCACGACGGAGAATGTTGCATCTCCCCATGCCTGCAACCTCCCAGTCACTACCAAAGAAGAGAAGCCCTGGATTCTCTCATACTTAACTGTTGGTGGCTCTGAAATGACACCTCTCATAGGAAAGAGAAACTATTTAGTTTTGGGGGGAGACTCTAGTTATTACCAAGGCGGCAAAAAGAATTCGCCCTGTCTTTTGGATAATTGCTAGACCTATTTCCCCACACAAGGAACAGTCTCCCCTGGCTGAGACCTGCTGTGAAACTCAGCAGTGGCCCCAAAACAGGGCCTCTGATGTGTCCGACTCATTAAGACCAAACCATCAGTCCCCACACTTTTTCCTTCCTCCCCAGTCCCGCTGAGGCAAGAAGTTTCCATTCTGCCCAACTAGTGAAACCAGTCACCAGCATCCACCTTTCTCCTCCCGGCCCTGCCTGAGGAAATGAAAGACTGTAAAGGAGGGTGGGCGAGGCCGGTGGTTGGGTGACCACTCAGGGGGGGGCTCGCATCTGGAAGGCAGAGAAAGAGGCTGCCTTCCGTGCTAGAGTCCTTTTCTTTCTTTTTTAAGTTTTTAAAATCTTTTTTAATGAGAGTTTGATGGAAAGCACAAGTTGGTAGGCGGCTGCTGGGAGTGAGCCTGTCTTAGTTTACGTTTGTAAAGCACAGAGGGGCGGGGTTCGCAGCTCTTGGAAGTGTGGCCTTAGCTCACCTGTCAGCCTGGCACTGGGGTGTCAAAGCCACAGCGACTGTTAGCTGGCACTGACTCCCGTCCTTGGCTCAGAAACAGTGGCTCCCAGTGTGGCCTCGGCTGCACCTACGACTTGCAGAGCCAGAGATTTCCCAGGGGCCCGGTGAAAGGGTGTGACAATGAGACACTGGTGTGAGGGGGAATCCGTGGGGATAAGAAGTGTCACCAGCTGGAGAAAGAGCTCAGCTATCTGGATGGAAATGTGTGAGGATGTGTGTCGGTGGGAGTAGGGGTTTTGCAGGAGGCTTGGTGGTGGGCTGGCCATGTGGGTGGGAGGGAGGTGTGGGCAGGGAGGAGGGCCACAGGGAGTAGGGGCAGCTCTGACTCTTGAGTCCCCAAGAAGGACTGGTAGGTGGAGCTGAGGATGTTTGGACAAGGAGATTCTTTGAAGCTTTTCTCTTGTCCTCCCTACTCTGGACCTGGTCCCCTCCCCTCCATAAAGCCATTAGCTTCTGGTGCCAGCCCTATCTCTGCTCCATCTCTCGGTTCCAGTCAGTGCATTCACAGACCTTCTGCCCTCGGGGACGGGGAGGATTTATGGGGGGTAGAGGTTAGAGGGGGAGGGGGCATCCTTTAGAGGAGGGAAGGTCTGTTTGGGAAGTAGGGTGTGGGGAGCTGTTAGTCCGCTGGGCTAGAGACAGGATCATTTCCGAGCTTGCTCTGCATGACAAAGGGGAAGGAGCAAGTTTTTGCTTTGATCTGCCCCCTGCCGACCTCACACACCTGCCTGTTGATGCCCCGGCGGCCCCAGCTAAGACCCCAAGGAGAAAAACCAAAAGGGGGTGGGGATAGGCTGTGGCCCAGCTTCCCTGGATCTAGCTCAGGCCACCTTCCTTTCTTGGTGGCCCCAGGACAAAAATATCTGCCAGGCTGATGACCCAAAGCACCTGCCGCCCCCTCCCGGAGAGCCTGGCGACCCAGAACTGCGCGGTGAGGTGGGGGTCGGGTGGGGGCTTTGGGAGTGTGTGTTTGTGTGTATAAGGTTGGAGGTGTTAAGGGGTAGTGGGAAGAAGACTCACTAGGACTGAGAGGTCACGCCCTGGATGGAAGCTCCAGGGGAAACGAGGTGAGGGTGAGTTGGAGGGGCGTGTTTTTACAGACTTGCTCCAGGATCCTGAAGCTGGATTTTCTATAGGTTTTCGAGGACTCCAGGAAAGGTGTTTGCGGGGAATACAGGCATAGGTGGTAGTTACGAAAAGCTGCGGGAGAGTAAAGATGCGGGAGGCTCTCCTGCCACAAGGGAAGGGGTTGTTGCTCAGCACAGATGTTAGAGGCAAGGGGTGCACATGAGGAGCAGCAGGTGCTCCCATTCTGCTGTAGGTGCTGCTGGGACACAGGGCCCCTGAGCACAGGGGAGGGATGAGGGCCACCCAGGGAGGCACGCCCCAGCCTCCAGAGCTTTAGGGCCCCGGCTTGCTGTAGGCTTTTACATTTCTCAGAGAAGTTGCCCTGAGAAAGTGAAAAGTCCTTGCCTTCTCCCTACTGTTATTCCTGGTAAACAGCTTCTGGGATTTGGAAAACTTGTTTAGAGTGAGAAGGTTACAGATTGAGAGGGAAACTCCTGTTTGGCTGTCAGTTGGTTTTTAGCGCCACAAAAGAGCATGGTGGCCAGAGACATCCACCTCTGGCAGGCGTGAGAGGCAAAGAGGAGGGCGATGGGTGGTTCTCGCTCTGGAAGGGCAGATGTGCATTGCATCAGTGCTGCATAGCACATGCTCTGTTCTTGAAGTAGCGTGTTTTCAGTTCTGTCTTCTAGTTTCTCAGCTTGTATTTCCTTGGGAATTAGGCCTCGAGTGGGGTCTTCACGGTTTGGGGTAAGAGACATGAAGGCAACCCTATGGTGAGATGAACAGTAAGAACTGGAGGTTGGAAAGAGGCTGCATTTCTTTGGGAGAGAGAAAGTGATGTTAGATCCAGCCCAGAGCTCACCCTGTCTGCGGGTCCTCCCCTATCTGTTGCATTTCCACACTGATTCTCCTTCCATTTCTGTTTTCTCAGGGAGCCCAGTTTTGGACGCTGGCAGTCCCAGGGGTCTTCCCAGGACACTGGGGAGGGCTGAGGCCGACCATGCCAGGCCTGCTGCTGCTCGCTGCTGCGCTGCTCTCCAGCTGGGCTCAGCTCCCAGCCGAAGCCAGCTCCTGGTGGTGAGTGAGAGGGGCTGAAGTCCCACTCTACAACCTACACCTCCTTTGGTAATTGAAATGTGGAGAAGGTCACGGTGGGTCGTGATCATTCCTGTATTCATAGGAATCCTAAGGCCCTCTTTTATCCCAGGAAATCTAGCACAGCCCTTTTTCTCTCTCAAGCCCCCAGAAGTAAAGGTTCCCCAGGATAAAGGATTCGTTCATTTGGCTTTTTCTCTGATCCTGTCTGCATTCCCCTGTTCCTGGCTGTACCGCCATTTCTAGGGGTGGTTGAAAATATCTCTTTTGTTGCTATTGGATGATTTTTATTTTATTTATTTTTTGCTGGTAGGGGCAAGGAGAGTAGAATTTCTAGTTTATAAGTCTGATGACAAGATGAGGGATTTGTAGGATCATGTGTGTCTTTCTTTTTGTCTTTTAAAGACTGTTATCATTGCCAAGTCAACATGGAAATGGCAGGCACTCACCACCTGTTTTGCACAGACCATGCCCTGCTCAAATTTTTACTCAGATGGCAAATGTACAGCCTTTTCATCTAACTTAACACTTTATTGTGTCTGGTGGGTGATGAGCTGAAGGGAGAGCCCTTGAACTGATAAACGGTGGATTAGGGGATGTGTGGGTCAGATAGGGAAGTGAAAACATTTAGAATATATTGCAATGCATGTAAATTGGATTAGATTTTAAAGGCATAAGGGGAAGTTCTATTTAAGGCAGCGGTTCTCAACCTGTGGGTCTCGACCCCTTTGGGGGTCAAACGGCCCTTTCACAGGGGTCGCCTAAGACCATTGGAAAACACATATATAATTACATATTGTTTTTGTGATTAATTACTATGCTTTAATTATTTTCAATTTGTAACAATGAAAAATACATCCTGCATATCAGATACATTCTGATTCATAACAGTAGCAAAATTACAGTTATGAAGTAGCAATGAAAATAATTTTATGGTTGGGGGTCACCACAACATGAGGAACTGTATTAAAGGGTCGCGGCATTAGGAAGGTTGAGAACCACTGATTTAAGGGAATGTATTGCTTTCTATCACACATCCTGCATTTAGGCCAAAGTGAACCAATTACTCCTACTCCTTGAATAAGTCACGTGCTCTCCTGTTGGCTCTTTTTGCCCTCTGCCTCAAATGAATATAGCCTGCCCTTGTCTGGCTCATTCTCCTCCTGCCCCACACGCTTTAAGAGCCAGCTCACAGTCTAGCCATCTCCTTATAAAACTCCTCCCAGCCCAGGCTGGGTAGGAGCATTGTCCCATACATTGGAAGGTCTCGGGTTCGTTTCCCTGTCAGGTTCACCCCTGGCTTCAATCGGGGCACGTGCAGGAGGCAACTGATCGATGTTTCTCTCTCTTTCTCCCTCCGTTCCCCTCTCTCTAAAAATCAATGAAAATGTCCGTAAGTGAGGCTTTAAAAAATAGAAATTTAAAAGTAAATAATTATTTTTTTAAAAAGCTCCTCTCCCAGCTGTAAGAACTCTTCCTCTATCTGCTCACTCTGGATCCAGAAGCTCAAGTCTGTCTTTGGCATCTGATATCTCACATGTCGTCACCTGTGTTTGTGCCTCAGTTTCCCCAATTTTCTTTATTGGTTTTAGTGAGGGAGAAAGAGAAGCGAGAAAGAGAGACATTGATGTGAGAGAAACACGTCAATCAGTTGCCTCCTGTAGGCACCCTGACCAGGGATCGAACCCACAACGTAGGTATGTCCTGACGGGATTTGAACCCAGGACCTTCCAGCGTACTGGGATGACAGTTCAACCAATCGAGCCACATTGGCCAGGGCTCCTCAATTTCCTTTTCCCAGCCCTCATTGCACGGTCTTATTCACAGAAAGCACTCAGTAAATGTGTTGGAGGAATGACTTACTGCTGCACGCAGGCGTGTGCTCACTCCTTTCCCCTTTCTGAATTGCTGCTGTAGGTCGCTAGCTATGAACCCGGTGCAGAGACCTGAGATGTTCATCATCGGTGCCCAGCCTGTGTGCAGCCAGCTTCCTGGGCTCTCCCCGGGCCAGAGAAAGCTGTGCCAGTTGTACCAGGAGCACATGGCCTACATAGGGGAGGGAGCCAAGATGGGCATCAAGGAGTGCCAGCACCAGTTCCGGCAGAGGCGGTGGAACTGCAGCACCGTGGACGATGCCTCTGTCTTTGGGAGAGTCATGCAGATAGGTAAGCAGCCACAGACCAGGCTCGGCTGAAGGGGCTGTGCTCACCTGGCCTGGGTGCAAGCATGCTCTCTCAGGATGGGGCAGAGAGAGCCCACTTGGGTATCTAACTGGCTTTTCTCATGGCTTGGAATTGGCCTGCAAGCGGGGAGGGAGATGCACGCAGACAGAAGTGTCTCAGAGGATGTGTTAGCCGCACAGCTCAATGCTCAGCTAACCCTCTCTTCCAGCTTCGCCCTGTCTGGGCAGCCAGCGTGACTCACTCTGGGAAGGGCTCAGAGCATCTGAGTTGAGTTAGAACTGGGAAACCGCCCACCACCAGGGCCCTTTGTCTCATTCAGCACAAGGGCCTCCTTTGAGAGCCTTGCCCTGGATGTCTGTATGCTTTTTGCCTCTTTCACTTGGACTCTAAGAGAGATAGAAACTTGGGGCCAAATTGGTGATAGCTGTCATTAATCCAACCCAGATCCAGTCCTGGCTTCTTCATTGAAAGGGTGTGTGTGTGAAAGTGGGGGCAGGGGACAGACTGAAGAAGAAAGATGAGAGGGCCACTTTTCCCAAGATTTCTGTTCTCTCCCCTCTCCCACTCTAGGTCTAGGATTCTTTTGCTGCCCTATTGCTTAGATGGAGGTGTGATCTAGGGTCTAATTGTTTTAGGTCCTTTTGAAATGTAATTCTCTCCCTGGCAAGAAATTGAGAAATCCGGCCTTATTCTACTGAGTCTTATCCCCAGGGCCATAAAAGGAAGGTGTTAGAGCCCTGAAGTCCCTATCTCACATTCTCTCAGGACAGCTTCCCCTCAAAAGGCATTCTGGAGTTACCCAAGGCTGCAGTTTTCCCAAGGAATGATTTTAGCAGCAGGGAGTTAGGGAGTTGAGATTCCATTCCTCTGTATACTTGGCAGCCCCTCCCCCGCCCCCTTGACCTCTTTCCTCTCCCTCCCCTACCACATATCGAGAAGTGAGGACCAGGGGAAAGTACACTTTGAACCTCACTTCTCTCTTCTTCAGTGTCAACTCAAGATTCACAAGAGGATGCGCATGTTCTCATGGCAGTCTTACTGGACTTGAGGGTTAAGAATGGACTTGAGGGTTAAGCGAGATTTGGTGATAATTTATCAATTCTTCTCAAATATACTTAGTATCTGTCCCTTCTCCCTGGTAAAGACCTTGGTCAGCAGCACCCTCTGTCCTGGGTTTCTAGTGAGGGCACAAGGATGGCCCAAGCATAGAGAGAGGCACCCCCTAATCACTTGAAGGGAATAACCTAATGTATGCCTGATGTTGGCCAGATCCTTTCCATGTGTTGTTCTGTTTGAGTGAAGGCCAAAAAAATGAGGCTTTACTTTTTTACTTTAGAAAGAAAAGTGTTGGCAGGAGTAGAAACTCTGCTGGGTACAGGTTTGCATGGTGGAATGGCTTGTGAAAGTAGACCCTATTCCGTTACAAATGGAACCTCCTGTCTGCCTTATTTTCACCGTTCCTTTTTGTAGCTTCCCTGCAGGCTTATGCTACCTGGGAAGCTGTCCTCCATTCCTCCCCTGGGGAGGCCTCTCACTGCTGTCTTGTGTGTGACTTCCAAAGAGCCCTTCCTTCTTTGAAGCGGCTGCAGAGCAGCTCAGGGGGAGCCTTTGGCCTATCACTGAGGGGAGCATGGAGGCACCCTCCTGACAGTTGGAACAGAGAGGGCACCATATTGTCCTGCTGTCTCCTGTCGTCCTACTAGGGTAAGGTCTCTTTAGTAGCTGCTGGTTTAATAGCCTTTTTCCTTGATATGATGTGAGTTTCCACTCTGAATTGTTTCATATATAGACACCCTTCCCCCACTCTTACGCATTCTTGCTTTCTGAGAGGAGCACTAGAAGCCTTACTTACCAAGCTTACGTGAGACCCAGATGCTGCCCATGAAGGCAGAGCCACCTGCACTCAGGACCTAATGAAGCCCCGGCCGAAAGAGGCAGAATGACTGCACGAGACAGCTGATTCACTCAGGACAGGTTAGGATCCCAAGCCATGCTGATAGGCGAGGGTCCTCAGAGCACGTAGAGGCTGCGATATCACGCTCAGCCTCAGGTACACTATTTTAAAAGGCAGTTCTGAGAGGGGTGATTCAGCTCTAAAAAACATGTTTGCTAAAGAATGGAAGAAGAAATCAGACATATGCAGCTTGGAAAAGAGAATGCATAAAAGGCATCTTAGTTGTTTTCAAATACTGAAGGGCTGTCATATGGAAAAGGGATTAGATGGTGCCTCTCCAGCAGGCAGAAGTTGTAGGGAAGCCTAGTTCAGCGTAATATAAGAATGCTCTGGTGATTAGAGTCACTACAGAAGGGGAAATGGGTTGCCTTGAGATCCCAACCCACTTCTCTGAGGAATGCTCACCGTGGGTGGAATGTGGCTCTGGACTGCAGCTTCGGAGGCTCCTTCCTGCCCCAGGAGCCAGGTCAGGGGCTGACGCCCTATTCTGGGAAGGCTTCTCAGGCATGACTCCCTCCTTCCTAAGAGCCTCTTACATCCTGGGAGCTCACGCTCATAGTCTGACTCCCCCAGTCCGGATAGGCCCTGGTCTCTGGCAGTGGTTCAGCGCTGATTCAGATGTTAAGCTGAGTCATGGGTGTGACTTCCTGCATCCCTGGGTTTTCTTGGGCTACTCCTAGTCCACTTGGGCTGCTCCTGACCAGAAGCTGGCCCCTGGTTAATTGAGAAAAACGAATTTTCCAGTGTGGTCTGGTTGCAAACTTCACTGTGTTGTGCCTAGATCCGTGGTCGGCAAACTGCAGCTCTCGAGCCACATGCGGCTCTTTGGCCCCTTGAGTGTGGCTCTTCCTAAGCCTTAGGAGTACCCTAATTAAGTTAATAACAGTGTACCTACCTATATAGTTTAAGTTTAAAAAATTTGGCTCTCAAAAGAAATTTCAATCGTTGTACTGTTGATATTTGGCTCTGTTGACTAATGAGTTTGCCAACCACTGGCCTAGATAATCAAAATGTAGGGCAGGGGTCCTCAAACTACGGCCCACGGGCCACGTGCAGCCCGCCGAAAACCTTTATCCGGCCCGCCGGGTGTTTTTGCCGCCGCTGCCTGTTGCTTAGCAGCCGACTAGTGTTTTTTTTAAACTATAGACTGGCCCTCCAACGGTCTGAGGGACAGTGAACTGGCCCCCTGTTTAAAAAGTTTGAGGACCCTGATAGGGTAAGGTGATCACTCTAGACTACTAGTTACAGACTGCTTCCCTCTCCACCTGCCAAAACAGAATTGTGGTGTGTCTACTTCTGACCATGGAGAGCAGAAATTCTGTCTGGTTTAATAGCTGAGATCAGGATTGAATCTCAGTTTCCTGCTAAAAGCCACTCTCTTCCTTCCATTACTGAGTCTATATGAATGTTATTTCTTATTTCTTATAACAACTTTATTGAAATATAAAGTAATATACAGTTCAGTGTATATTCACAAGACTGTGCAATGAGCACTACTATCTAATTCCAGAACCCTATAAAGAAATTGCATACCCATTAGAGATCACTCTTCATTTCTCTCCCCTTCTCCCCAAACCCTAGGTAACCACTAATCTTTCTGTCTTTATGAATTTTCATATTAAAAACATTTCATATCAATGGGGTCATACAATATGTGGCCTTTTATATGAGGTTCAGTATAGACACAAAATGCTAAGTGATCACTTAGCATAATAATTTCAAGGTTCATCCATATTCTACCTGTACTTAATTAATTTTTTAATAAAATATGTTTTTAAAATATGTTTTCATTGATTTTTAGAGAAAGAGGAAGGGGGAGAGAGAGAGAGAGAGAGAGAGAGAGAGAGAAACATCGATGTGTGAGAGAAATTGTGATGGGTTGCCTTCTGTATGCACCCCAACCGGGGATTGAACCTACAACCGGGTATTAAACCCACAACCGGGTCATGTACCCTGACCAGGAATCGAACTGGCAACCCTTTGGTGCATGGGATGACAACCAACGGAGCCACACCAACCAGGACTGTACTTATCACTTTTTATGGCTAAATAATATCCCATTGTATGGATAAGACCACCTTTTGTTTACCCATTTACCTGCTGATGGACAATATGAGGTGTTTTTGTTTTTTTTAACATTTTGGCTGTTATGAATCATGTTACAGTGAACATTCATATATAAGTTTTTATGTAGACAGATGTTTTCCTTTATCTTGGATATATTTTAGGAGTGGAATTGCAGGGTCATGTGGTAATGCTATGTTTGAGGAGCTGCCAGACTGTTTCCAAAGCAGCTGTACCATTGAACATTCCCACCAGCAGTATATGAGGGTTCCAGTTTTTCTATATTCTCCCCAACTTGTTAGCTGTCATATTGATGATAGCCATACTCACGCGTGTGAAGTGGTGTCTCATTGTGATTTTGATTTGCATTTCCCTGGTGGCTGAGTATTATTTTTTGTAAACATTTTTATTGAATTAGAGCATATATCATGTGAGTTTTCAAGTGGCTCACTACAGCAATAGAGGAACACAGTTCGGCTTTTCTACTAGAAATGATCTGGGTATTGGGAGAGACCTGCTGAGGGTCCCATAGATGTGGTTCCCAGTGCTTGGGAGTTGGGAGGCAGTGTGGACCCTGCGGAAGACCCGGAGGCAGCTTGGATGATTCTGGATGTTGTAATTCTAGTTCCCTCTCTACTCCTGCTCCCTGCCTCTGTCCACCTAGATAATGGTAGCAATAAAAGGCAGATGTGTGGCTCATAGAGTGAAACATTGCCATCTGTAAGGGAGAGATGTTTTTGAGAATAGAGTCCTGTTCTTAGTCCCATGATTTCTATTTAGTCTCATTCTCTTGGTCTCAGGTGTTTCCTAAATTCCTCAGTGTCCGGTCTCTCCTGCATTGGGGTCTGCCTCCTAGGAACCTACTGGTCATATAAACTTCTGAAATGGGTGCTAGTGTAAGCCAAGGGCTGCGGGGGAGTCACTCTATTTGGTATATCGTAGGGCAGAGTAGGTAAATTTCAGCTCATTATCAAGAGACGTTTCAAACCGTTAGAGTCATGGGAAGTGAAAGGCCACTCCTGGGAGTGTTATGCTGTGGCTGTGGCCATGGGTCTCGAGGAGGCAGAGGGGAGGAAGCCTCCGCTAGAGAGCTGACCTCCTTCGCCCCCGTCTTGCCTTGTCTTGCAGGGAGCCGGGAGACGGCCTTCACCTATGCTGTGAGTGCCGCGGGGGTGGTGAACGCCATCAGCAGGGCCTGCCGAGAGGGTGAGCTGTCCACATGTGGCTGCAGCAGGACAGCGCGGCCCAAGGACCTTCCCCGGGACTGGCTGTGGGGCGGCTGTGGGGACAACGTGGAGTACGGCTACCGGTTTGCTAAGGAGTTTGTGGATGCCCGGGAGCGGGAGAAGAACTTTGCCAAGGGATCGGAGGAGCAGGGCCGGGTGCTTATGAACCTGCAGAACAACGAGGCGGGTCGAAGGGTGAGCTGGACCTCGTCTCCCATCCCCACCCCTCCCCACACACCGCAGACCAACGGGGCTGTCCCTGGGCTGAGCTCTGAGCTGTGACCTTGCCATGGAAGAAGGGGTTGGCCAGCTTAGGGAGATTCTTACAACTGCCCACCTAGATGCCCACATTATTGAACTAATCCCTTTCAAAAGCGTCCATTGCTCAACCAGCACATGCACTTGTCATTTTTTTAACCTTGTTTCTCCACAGTACATCTGTCCCTATAGGGCAGTGATGGCGAACCTTTTGAGCTCGGTGTGTCAGCATTTTGAAAAACCCTAACTTAACTCTGGTGCTGTGTCACATATAGAAATTTTTTGATATATGCAACCATAGTAAAACAAAGATTTATATTTTTGTTATTTATTTTATATATTAAATGCCATTTAACAAAGAAAAATCAACCAAAAAAATGTGTTCGCCTGTCACCTCTGACACGCGTGTCATAGGTTCGCCATCACTGCTATAGGGCTTAGTTGCAATCTTCTGATCAGCATTTCAGACATAAGGAATGGAGTTCTTGTCTTGACTGGCCCTCTTGTAATTTGAACAGATAGGATGAATGGAAGTTTAGGCTGTTAGACTTAATCTAGGGTTTTTGATTTTTTAGTTTTATTGATTTTTTTTTTGAGAGAGAGAAAGGGAAGGAGAGAGAGAAAGAGAGCAAGAGAGAAATGTGAGAGAGAAACATTGATCAGCTGCTTCCCACACACGTCACAATAGGAGATTGAGCCCAAAACCTGGGTATGTGCCCCAAACAGGAATTGAACTCATCACCCCTTCGTGCACATGACCACACTCCAACCAACTGAGTCACACTGGCCAGGGCTAGGGTTTATGATTTCTTAAAGATTTAGGTAAAAGAGAGCTGACTTAAGAGCTGCCATCATATAATCCAGAAACCCAGTCCAAAAGCTCATTTAGGTCTAATGGCAAATACTTGTGTGAGGGGAGTTTTACATGTAAGTGGAAGTGTGAAGGACAAACCATTCTTTGCAGATAGTCTCACCAATCACTTGTAAGATATGACATTCTCTGAGCCTCAGTTTCAGTAGAAACTAAACTGGAGGTTTAGAGGTGAACTTGCTTTATTTTATGTGCAGAACCTAATTGGGCAACAGCATTAGATTGCCTTTATGGTGTTCTGGGAGTACATGCCTGCTCTGCCTGTACCTTGTTCATAAACACCCCACCTTTGGGCACATGCTCTGGACTCCTCTTTCCTGTGCTGCGCTGTGAGGCCCCTGCCCCAGGAAATGGCAGGGGCGGGACTCTCCCAATATAGCCATTGTGGGAGGAGTGTGGACTTGCATCAAGGTCTCCCTGTAAACAGGTCTGAGTGCTGGTGGTGGGACACCCTTCTGACATAGGGGCAGGGGTCGCAGACCTCTCACAGACTTCTTTCTGGGAGTGTTGGCCACACTCAGGACTATACCAAGTCGGCTGGCTCCGTGTCCAGGCCAGGGACTTTAGTGAGAGCAGAGATAAGCTAATTGAAAAATGAGAGCGGAGGCCTGGCCGGTGTGGCTAAGTGGTTGAACATCAACCTATGAACCAGGAGGTAGCGGTTTGATTCCCCGTCAGGGCACATGCCTGGGTTGCGGGCTCCATTCCCAATAGGGGGCGTGCAGGAGGCAGCCGATCAATTATTCTCTTTCATCACTGATGTTTCTATCCCTCTGTCCCTTCCACTCTGAAATCAATAAAAATACATTTAACAGCAGCAACCACAACAATAAAGAGAGAAGAGGTTTCTTGAGAAGAAATAAATCCAGAAATTTAATGTTGGTTAATTGATGATTGGGTAACAGCATATGAATATATTTCTAAAAACGTGTTTACATCTCAATTGAAAAATAAGTCATGTTTCATGGGAGAAAATAGAAAATACATGGGATTGGGAATGTGTTTTACATGAATCAGGATCTTGTGATGTTGTCTTGGTAGCACATGGTACACTTGTGTAGACTTAGCATCACCAATAGTGTGACGTCAAGTAGAAATTAGAATTGGCCACTTGCCCAGTGTCTTGCTTATCTAGTGCATATCCCGAGGCCAATTTTCTTAAGCCACATGTGGGTGTCTGAGGGGTGGCATTGATCCATGGTGGTGTGAGAGGTCGTGGTCAGTGCTCTGAACTGTGTCTGTTATGGTATAATCCAGGGCAGAGAGACCAGACTGTCTTAGGTGACAGTTTGTGCTGACAGTTCTGCAGGCATCTGTGGGGTTGCCTCTGTCTCCAGGACTTCCTTTCTGTTCAGCAGTCTGTTAGGCAGTCCTTGTGTGTTTAACCACAACTGGAGAGAGATTGGTGGAAAAGGTCAAGATCTTTCACTTTATCTCTCAAATGCCCAAATTTTATCCATTTGTCAAGATCTCAGATAGTAGTCTCTGCATCAGAACTGCAGTATAGCATTTGTACTTTTCCTGGGGTATGGCGTTCTCTACCTCCTCTCATGGCCTGTAAGTTTCTGAGGACAGGGATCTCCAGGTATGCGCATGTGAATGTGCAGATGAAAGTTCCCATATTGCTTCCTAGCAAAGGGTCAAATTCATGGAGGGCTGTTTCCTGTCTCTGCTCTGAGCTGTCCCTGGGGCATTGTGACAGATGTGGAGGTGACTAGGCATTCATCCTAATCTGGGCCCCATTTCAGTCACAGTCTTGACCCCACTTCTGCTGGCTCCTCATTTTATTGCCCTTAATTGTCTGTTTGTTTGTACTGGGCCCTTATCTTGGCAGCCCCTTCCCTTCCATCTGCCTCATCTGCAGTCACTTACACACCTTCCCCTGTCTGTCTCCCTGTCTTTGGCCCCCTTCCTCCACTTCTACACCTTTTTTATAGTGCTTTATCTCTCCCTTTGCCTCTATCTGCTCCAGGTTGGGAATTCTTTTTCTCTTTTAATTGAATTTATTGGGATGACATTGGTTAATAAAATGATATAGGTGTGAGGTGTACAATTCTATAATACATCATCTGTATATTGCATTGTGTTTTCACCACCCAAAGTCAAGTCTCCTTCCATCACCATTCATCCCCTCTTTACCCTCTTCTACCTTCCCCCACGCCCATTTCCCTTTGGTAATCAGTGGCAATGAGGTTTTTGTTTTTGTTTTTTTTAATCTTTATTGTTGAAAGTATTACATATGTCCCCCCTTTTTCCCCATTGACCCTCTCCAGCCTGCCCTGCCCCCTACCCCAGGCCTTCACCACCCTATTGTGTGTCCATGTGTTATGCATATCCTATATAATAAAAGCCTAATATGCTAAGTGTCCCACTGTTCATTGGACCGTTTGACCAGTCGCTATTACGCACACTGACCACCAGGGGCAAACACTCTGACCAGTAGGTTAGCTTGCTGCTGGGGTCCGGCCGATTGGGACTGGGCAACAGGGGCTGGACATGCCCTGGAGCCTTCCTGAGGTCCCTCCCCGGCCCCAATCATGCACCGGTGGGGTCCTAGATTATGAGAAGGTGCAGGCCAGGCTGAGGGACCCCACCAGTGCACGTATCCGTGCACTGGGTCGGTTTTGGCCCAATCCCCACAGGGCAGGCCAAGGGACCCCACCAGTGCACGAGTACATGCACAGGGCTTCTAGTATGTATACAAGGTGTTTGGTTTATTACCTCCCACCATCCCCACCTTCCCTCTGAGATTTCCCACTCTGTTCCATGCTTCCATGTTTCTGGATCCACTCTGTTCATCAGTTTGTTACTTAGATTCCACATATGAGTGACAACATGTGATATTTGTCCTTCTCTGACTTACTTATTTCACTTAGCATGATACTCTCCCAGTCCCTCCATGCTATCTAAAGGGTAAGAGATTCTTCTTTTTACTGCTGCATAGTATTCCATGGTATAAATGTTCCACAGCTTTTTTTATCTACTTGTCTACTGATGGGTACTTGGGCTGTTTCCATATCTTAGCTATTGTAAATTGTGCTGCTATGAACATAGGGGTGCATACATTTTTTCTGATTGATGTTTCAGGTTTCTTAGATATAGTCATAGAAGTGGGATCACTAGGTCAAATGGCAGTTCCATATTTAATTTTTTGAGGAAACTCCATACTGTTTCCCATAATGGCTGCACCAGTCTGCATTCCCACCAGCAGGGTACTAGGTTCCCTTTTCTCCATATCCTCTCCAGCACTTGTCATTTGTTGATTTGTTGATGATAGTCATTCTGACAGGTGTGAGGTGATACCTCATTGTCCTTTTAATTTGCATCTTTCTGATGATCAGTCACTTTAAGCATTTTTTCATGTGTCTCTTGGCCATCTGTATGTCCTCTTTGGAGAGGTGTCTATTTAGGTCATTTGCCCATTTTTTAATTGGATTGTTTGTCTTCCTTTTGTTAAGTTGTATGAATTCTTCATGTATTTGGGATATTAACCCTTTATCAGATGTATCATTGCCAAATATGTTCTTTCATACAGTGGGCTCCCATTTTGTTTTGTTGATGGATTCCTTTGCTGTGCACAAGCTTTTTATTTTGATGTAGGCCCGCTTGTTTATTTTCTCCTTAGATTCCTTTGCCCTAGAAGATGTATCCATAAACATATTGCTACAAGAGATGTCTGAGATTTTTCAGCCTATGGTTTCTTCTAGGAATCTCATGGTTTCACGATTTACATTTAAGTGTCTTATTCATTTTGAGTTTATTCTTTAGGGTGTAAGTTGGTGGTCTAGTTTCATTTTTTATTTTTTTGCATGTATCTCTTCAATTTTGCAAACACCATTTATTGAAGGGACTGTCTTAACTCCAATGTATGTTCTTGCCTACTTTGTCAAATATTAATTGAGCATAATGGCTTGAGTCGATTTCTGGGGTCTCTGTTCTGTTCCATTGATCTACTATAAGCCTGTTTTTGTGCTAGTACCAGGCTGTTTTGATTGTGGTGGCTTTGTAGCATAACTTGAAATCTGGTATTGTGACTCCTTCAACTTTGTTCTTCTTTCTCAAGATT